CCCACAGTATACACAGAGCATGGGCTTACAGCAACAAAAATGTCAGAAGTAGTATCAGCCTCAAAAATAGTATTCATTTTGTTTTAAGGAAACCAGTCTTGAGCTAGGCATTGAGGCTTCTACTGCTAGTGTCCCTCAGTCCAAGATGCCAGGCAGACCAGTTGTTTTAAGAGGACCGGTCAGCAACGTTACAATATTCTGAATTCCTGAACCATCACAATATACAACAGGATCATTTTTCAAATAAGCAGCACTTATTAGATATCCACCATTTAGCTTCAATCAGTGACTATACCTAGGCTGAAATGTCATTGCCTACTGCAGGCAGAAGGAAGCAATTCCTTAGTCTCCTCTCCCCCAGTGATCATACTGCACCATTGTAACAATTCACAAGGAACAAGGCAAGAGGTTGCAGCAGGGTCTGATTTGCGTCAGATATTTGTTAACACAGCCAAGAACTGCACAGGCACCAGCATTAAGGCTAGCTAGCTACACAGCTCACATTTTGGCCAATTCCTGCTAAATCTGTTGAAATTTGAGCAGTGGGTGACCCTGTTGGCACGACCTGGCTCAACCAATTTCAAGAAAAAGGTATTGAAGGAGCCTGATGGAAAATGCTCACTGAACAGAAACTGCATCCAAATCAGATGTAGGCACTCTACAGGTACTCAAACATCTGTTGGTGCTACAGCTGATTACAACAGCTGGTAGTACCAATTCCTCCATCCACTCTTTTTAGCATGAATTGAGAAATAGGGTGGCTTCTCCTTTCTGGCTGAACAAGTGAAATCTACAATGATATGGCCAGCTTTACGGCGACTATCATCTCTGATCCCGCATCTCAGGCCAGAATGTAGATGGTGACCCTGGTTGATGTCTGAGCAAAGATGACTCCAGCCCCCTGGAGAGAAAAGCAGATGAAAGCATTGTCAAGGGGTGTATTGTGATCTCTGTGAGAGGGAATACCTAGAAGTGTTACAATAACACACTGGGCATATTTCATGTTAGGATGTGCATTAACATAGGCTGTGTTAAGGCGGCTCATTCATTGTGGCTGTGTTACAACCCATTGGAGTGAAAGGGCCCCGAGTCACTAACCTAGAAAAAAAAAGTGTGGCTCAAAACAGCACTCTTTTTTTCTAATAGATTTAATGGCCTGTTTATATTATATTAACCCCTTGGTGCCGAGCGGAAGCAGATATGGGACCCCACTGGACTTGGCTTTTATATCATGGCACGCTCCCAGCACAAAGACCAGGGTCTCACCAAGAGCCCCAGTACTGACGATTGGGACCTGGAACTCCAGATTCCAGGTCACATGATTTGCACTGATTGATTATCACAGCGATCAGTCACTGTGAAGCCCTCAGCCGTGTTTTCTTCTGAGTGGAGGAAGAATATACATTGTTTTTTCTTCCCTCTGCAAAGAGCTACAAACAAAACAAAAAAAAAAACAAAAAGAAGGAGTGGTTTTCTTTTTACTATTTTCTTTTAATTAAAATAAATTATATACACACACACACACACACACACACACACACACACACACCCTAATATATATATATATACACACACACACACACACACACACACACACACACACACGGTTTTACTAACACATGTCAAAGTTGCAAAATTGTGCTTAGGCATTAACAGTTGATTTACCCTTAGGCGCAAAAGGGGTTAAGATATGCTCTTACTAGCATTGAAAGGTAGCATCCATCATGAAAAGCAGTTTTATTTTATAAAGTGATCTAGATTATATGGGCATAGTGAAATAGGGCAACATTGACAGAGACTTGTGTCTGTTATACCAAACCCCTTGGAAAAGAGTGACCCATCATTACAAGACATCACAAGAGACTTTTAAGGACCGCTGACATTTTCAGAGATTTTTTAGCCCTATAAATGGTGAATGCTTGTGAGCTATTATGAAATGAGGTGTTCAATATGTGACTTTAGATGTCCTTATTTCTCACGTGAGGTTCGCTGGCACTTGCACTGACTCATATGCTAGTGTATATATAATATTTTCAAAATAGATAGTGCCGCGCTCCCATGTACCAATATGTATATCTTATACTTTCAAAGTGCTAATGAATAGCTTTCAAGATACTGCATGTATCAAACAATTATTACTAGTGACTCAAAACATCATTGTGAATATTAATCTTCATGCAAGTGACATTAATAACTGATAATCCTAAGGTGATAGTGCCTATTAAAGTACAGTGATATACAAATCAGAAATACTCCTCTATTCTACTGTGATCCTTATATTTATATTGTGCAAACACATATATATTATGTGCACGTGCTTATGATATATTCAATAAAAAAAAAAAAAAAAAAAAAAAAAAAAAAAAAGTCTTTCAAAATAAATGTGCAGGTGGATTCTTGGTTCCCTCTCGCCGAGTGCTTAATGGTCTCCCTATGTGCTCACCTCTATATTTGCCTGAATAAATCCAGGCAAATACACTTTTTATCCTTCCAGGATAGATGGGATGGAATGATGCTCTTGAATTATCTCAGAAGGTGGATGTGGATTTATATTTGTTCTCCTGTAGCTGCTCATGAGTGGGTATACTGACCATCTCTCTGAGGATCTCCCAATTCCCCTCCTGGGGCTGTTTCCTTTTCCAGTCCTCCTTATATCAGCTCAAAGGGTGTTGTTCAATTGAGAAAGGAAGACAAACAGACCATAGTGTCTTATCCTTGTGCAAAAAAGTTTATTGCTGCCAGTTGCACAGTAGTATACAATTGTAGTCCAGCATAAATGTGCTCTGCCTCTGTTCCTGCAGTGCTGTCTACCTGTGTCTGTATTCAGATCACCGAGCCTCTCCAGTGCAATGTCGTGACGTCAGAGCCCCTCCCCTACGCGTATCGTCACAGGGTCACGTGACTTCATCAGGGGGAATGATTAGATCAATTATTCCCCCTGATTAATCATTCCCCCTGATGAAGTCACGTGACCCTGTGACGATACGCGTAGGGGAGGGGCTCTGACGTCACGACATTGCACTGGAGAGGCTCGGTGATCTGAATACAGACACAGGTAGACAGCACTGCAGGAACAGAGGCAGAGCACATTTATGCTGGACTACAATTGTATACTACTGTGCAACTGGCAGCAATAAACCCCCTTTTTGCACAAGGATAAGACACTATGGTCTGTTTGTCTTCCTTTCTCAATTGAACAACACCCTTTGAGCTGATATAAGGAGGACTGGAAAAGGAAACAGCCCCAGGAGGGGAATTGGGAGATCCTCAGAGAGATGGTCAGTATACCCACTCATGAGCAGCTACAGGAGAACAAATATAAATCCACATCCACCTTCTGAGATAATTCAAGAGCATCATTCCATCCCATCTATCCTGGAAGGATAAAAAGTGTATTTGCCTGGATTTATTCAGGCAAATATAGAGGTGAGCACATAGGGAGACCATTAAGCACTCGGCGAGAGGGAACCAAGAATCCACCTGCACATTTATTTTGAAAGACAATTTATTGAATATATCATAAGCACGTGCACATAATATATATGTGTTTGCACAATATAAATATAAGGATCACAGTAGAATAGAGGAGTATTTCTGATTTGTATATCACTGTACTTTAATAGGCACTATCACCTTAGGATTATCAGTTATTAATGTCACTTGCATGAAGATTAATATTCACAATGATGCACTAGTAATAATTGTTTGATACATGCAGTATCTTGAAAGCTATTCATTAGCACTTTGAAAGTATAAGATATACATATTGGTACATGGGAGCGCGGCACTATCTATTTTGAAGATTTTTTAGCCCTGGTTCACATCAGTGCGACTTGTCATGCAACGCGACAGTTCAAACATCACGACAAGTTGCACCCTATTAGTGGCAATGGAACAGTTTGAATTGCTGCAACTCAAGTTGCAGCAACTCTGAAAAAGGTTCTTGCACTATTTCATTGCGACTTGCATTGACATCTGTTAAAATGAACTTGCATAGATGTAAGCAAGCCACACATGAAAATCGCACCGATAGGTCGGCTTTAAAAGTTGTGCATCTTCAAAGTTACCCAGGTGTGAACCAGGACTAAAAGACTGTCCAAAGGATTAAGCAAACAAATCTATGGCCATGCTAGAGATTACCCTGAAGTTAGGCTGGCCATATACTAGCGGCGGCTCTCAGAATATCCGAACAATGGCTGCATCGGACTTGATGTAGCCACCGGTCAACTGACAATTTTCTACCCAAACTCCTTTGATTTTTAAATATATGTGCACACCCCTTCAAAATGATTGAGTTCAAGTGTTTCCAATAATAGAGAAAAAAAAAAAAAAAAAAAAAAAATAAAAAAACACACAACATCCTCACTGCTCAGGTCTGTTGTGGTGCAGTTAATGTATGTCAAGTGTGTGCTAATGTGGCTTGCATTAAGGCAGCCCAGTCATTTGAATATGCTGCCTAATGCACCACAGTGGACCTCAAATCGTACTTGACTTTGTTTTTCTTATGCAATGCACAGTGCAGTGTGGAGGTGTGTTGGGGTGTCTCACCAAGTGAATGGCACCGCAGTATACCAAGGCATGGTAAATACCCCTTATGGTAATGTGTTACCACAACACAAATATCCCCAGTTGGACACTGCCTGCAAAATCATACCTTTATAAAAAGGTGATAGGGGAGTTTTAAAACCTTTATCTAAAAGTCATTTAAAATAAAAACACAAAGTTGTTCCTTCTCCTGCTCCTCCCTGTATGAACACACTTTACTTTTTGACATTTCTTTAGATCACATAAAAAACATAGTAGGTGTATTTTGCATAGTCACACAATGCTTCATTGCTCCAGACTAAGGAATATATGATGAGATGAAATAAGACCAGCTCACTGCGCCCTGGAATTTTAGCATCCTAGGTCCCACCTTGAATTGCCTTCTCACCAATCATGGCTTATTCATGACTTGACCTCAGACTGGCTGGGTAAAAGTTGAAGACAACAATACTCACGCAGGTGCGCTGGCAGCCTGACGGGCTCCTCTTCCATTTTGTAAGCTTGTGGCCCCGAGACATGGAGAAAGGAGGGGGATTGCGTGGCACAGTTTGGCCCCGGGCTCTCCGGGGCGAGTAGGAAATCTGCTCCTGCTGTAACATGCAAGAAAGAAGAGAAGGAACGTGAGAAGATCTAAACAGTTGTTCCATGAAAACTCGTATTAGAAGGCAACACAAAACATTTATTTTGGAGTATTTAACAACAAACTTTGTGTTTTAGGTTTGGCTAGAGTAAGGAATGGTTATTTCTGCTACTAGAATCATGCTGGGAGATTTCTTGTCCTGGGGATGTAATAGGAAGTGAGAAGAATTCTCTTCATTATATAACTATAGCTTGAATAGGTTTTGGTAAATACCTGAAAAAAAATAAAATAAATATGTGTCTGTGTCCAAATATATATGGACCCAACTGTACACACACACACACACACACACAAAGTCTATATAGGCAGCATTTTTTTGTGTCATGTGTGCATGAGGCCCTAAGGTGATAATCTTCTGTCCTCCTGTTTTGTCACCCGGTCACGTGCCCCTTGCGGAGACTGCAAACAGCCGTACTGACACACATTGCTCAGGCATGGTCAGTTGTCACTATCCGGAAGCTGGTCCCCAGCACTGATCTGCAGGAGTTGCTGTACCGAGTGCTTGTAGACAGAACAGCAGCATTGAGATGAGGAAAAAAAAAAAAAAAAAAAAAAAAAAAAACACCCAACCAAAACACAGCAAATTAAATAAAAAGGTTTTGACCGCAACCAAAAGTGCCGCACCTTGGCGCCGCCAGTTCTCACCAGCTCAGCAATCATGAGATACATTTTTCAGAGTTAATGACTATGTTCTGCAAAAAGCATGAGTCAAAAAAAAAAAAAAAAAAAAAAAAACTGGACTAACTTCATTTTTGTCCCTGCAGTCTGGGAACAATAATTCCTTTGATTGGTAGGGCTAAATAACAAATTAGGGGATCACTTATAATTGGGGGCGATGTACTACATAAAAGTGCCAGTTCTTCAGGATTTCATTTAGAACCTGCTCCCGGCATCCCAGCAGCTGTTGCCAGTGCGTTTCTTTATATAGCGTCCTGTCTGCCTGTCACCGTGCCCCTCCTTTCACCGGTTTAACGCTTCCTGGGCTGTCCCCATCCAACTAATCCTTGAGAAATTCAAATACAAAAAGGAAGAAAAAAACCACACACTTGATAAAGTCCAAATAACTTGGTAATAAGTTTGCGGTTAACCCTTACATTCCCAGACTGCCCTTCACGCCGGTCCTCAGTCACCTGTCCACCGGCTTACCCCTTTCCTCCATCCTTCCACGAGCCTCTGCATGTCCTGCTATCAGTCCCTCGCTTCTGGTTTTTCCTCTCTCCTTCCTGTCACCCTGAACGCTGCTCGCTTCCTGGTGACCCTCCCACCTCTCAGGCTCACCCTGCATGAGGTCTGTGTACTTCCCTCTGGAAACCGTCTCTTCTCTGTGTGCAGTCTTTCCTTCCTCCTACGTCTCTCTCCTCTTGCAACAGGAGCGTCTTAACCCCATCAACGCCACTGCACTTCCTTCGCCAATCCGAGGCAGCCGCTGCTCCCGGGCATGGAGGGGTTAATGCGTTTCCATACATCTGGGAGAGTCTGTGCATCTTTCAGGGCTTTGGATCCGGCCCAGAGGAGAGCGGAAGTGGAGAAACCAACCAAACTGGTCGGACGGATTGTGAATCGACGTGGAAAAGCCCAGTAGCCTCTGGAGAGTGACAGCAAACAAGCTTCACGCAGGCACCTGTGATCTCAGGTAGACGGAAGCTGACACGGGAAAACTGAACAAAGCATACAGCCAGGCATTCAAGGCAGATCGTGCGCAAAAGGACTCGAAAATGCTACGCACCATCCCTAGGATCTTGAAAATCAGGAGTTAACCCTAACTGGATACTTTGCTTTCTCTGTGCCTTGTAGATCATAAACAACTGCCGTGTTTTTAAAGAAAATCCTTGTTTCCCCTTAGCGCCCCCCCCATCCTCTCATCTCAGTGCTGCTGAGCCTCTGCAGTCTCTTTACAGCCACTTCCTGTCTACACGCAATCCAGCATGACATATCTCAGAGCACCTTGACCATACAACAGTAGACCAGGTCTGCATGCAGTTTCGGTCAGAAGCCTGTGTGATGGGGTGAGAACAATTGAGAGAGACAGGGACAGAACACAGTCACCCTATAACAGGAAACGCGTGAATGTTTTTTTTTTTTTTTTTTAATAAGTTTAATGAAAGCTGCAAATTTAAGATTGAAAAGAATTTTTGAAATTGTCTTAGCATGTTAACGCTTATACACTGCTCAAAAGTTATATAAAAAGACTTTTTAATCAGGAGTATAGCATCAAGTCAATTACACTCCTGGGATATTGATCTGGTCAGTTAAGTAACAAAGGGGGTTGTTAATTTCATTACTACCAAAGCAGCTGAAACTGATTAACAACAGGTGCACTAGATTGGCAACAATGAGACGACCCCCAAAAAACAGGAATGGTTTTACAGGTGGAGGCCACTGACATTTGTTTCCCCTACTCATCTTTTCTGACTGTTTTTTTTCTAGTTTTGCATTTGGCTAGGGTCATTGTCACTGTCACTGGTAGCATGAGGTGATACCTGGACCTTGCAGAGGTTGCATAGGCAGTCCAACTCCTCCAGGATGGCACATCAATACGTACCATTGCCAGAAGGTTGCTGTGTCTTCCATCATAGTCTCAAAAGCATGGCGGAGATTCCAGGAGGCAGCCAGTTACTCTAGGAGAGCTGGACAGGGCCATAGAAGGTCGTTAACCCATCAGCAGGACCGGTATCTGCTACTTTGTGCAAGGAGGAACATGATGAGCACTGCCAGAGCCCTACAAAATGACCTCCAGCAGGCCACTGGTGTGAATGTCTCTGACCAAACAAACAATTAGAAACAGACTTCATGAGGGTGACCTGAGGGTCCGAAGCCCTCTAGTTGGCCCTATGCTCACTGCCTGGCACCACAGAGCTTGATTGGCATTTTCCATTGAACACCAGAATTGGCAGGTCCACCACTGGCGCCCTGTGCTTTTCACAGATGAGAGCAGGTTCACCCTGAGCACATGTGAGACGTGAAAGGGTTTGGAGAAGCCATGGAGAATGTTGTGCTACCTGTAACATCATTCAGCAGGTCCGTTTTAGTGGTGGGTCAGTGATGGTCTGGGGAGGCATATCCATGGAGGGACGCACAGACCTCTACAGGCTAGACAATAGCACCCTACCATTCCGTATTGGGATGAAATCCTTGGACCCATTGCCAGACCCTACTCTGACAAAGATATTTTTTCCCCATTGAGATCTGATGTGTTTTCAAAGTGATCCCTAAATTTTTTGAGCATTATTAGAATTTAGCTATTAGGTTTACTTCTAAAAAGCATTCCCTTTGTTTCTATAACACCACACACTGCTTGCATTACATATTTTGGACCCAAAAAATTAGCCCGCACATTATCAAAGAGAAATCACTCAATATATACAAAATATAGCAGATGTACAACAATCACACAAATGGAATACATAATCTGATCAGATAAACCTTTAAAAAGGTTTCTACCTATCTGATCATACAATTATCTTTTAATTTTTGCTACACAATTTGTAACTTTTTACATTGAATGAAAATAGAGTATAAAAAAAAAACCCCCAAAAAAACCAAAAAGAAAACGAAACACTACTGTGCACTACTAAGTAGGGCCTACATAGGTAATGAGTAGCTATGGCTGCCCCATGTACATAAATGATCGCACAGTATACAAAAAGGAACAAGTCTTCCACATATAGCACCAGATTTCCCATTTAGGTCTGGTTTTAACTTGTTGCATAAAAACAATTTAGATTGTATGTAGACATGCGGATGTTATAGGTGTCTGACACCCCATGTAACTGCTAGAATTTCTTCTGTCTTGTGCACCATTGTAAGGAAATAATGGGAAGGAACAGTGCAAAGATAGTTCAATGCTGGAGCACATCCTTGTCTGAGCCTGCAGAGATCCCAGCACTCCTCATCCTGAACATGATCTGGTTAACCTCCAATGTTTTTGTTGGTCAGTCATTGGATTAAACTGATGTCCACACTTATGGTCAACTACACACAGCTGAAGAAGAAATGTACAAAGCATTAGTGCGGGTCTCCTGCTGTGGCCCAAATTGACGTCTAAACACCCTTCCAGCAGAGACAAGCCTCACTTTGTTCTGGCAAGGAGTCTTTAGCACGAGACTGAAAATTTGTGCCGACTGCTTTTAGGAGTTAAAAAAGCAGACAAAGTTAGATAAAAACCATAACCAAAAATAAAACACCACTTCAATATTCACCTTAAAAGAGGATCTTCAGTGTTTAATTTTTTTTTTTTTTTTTTAAGTCGACAGCTAGAATACTGGAGTTCTCTCTTTTTTTAAAGAACACTTACCCGTCGAGGGATCCAGATCTGTCCACCTCTGTACCAGTTCTTCGGGTCCCTAGCACCAGCATGTTTACTAAAGTAATATCGCTGTGACTTCTTGTGGCTTCACATGCGCTGTAGGAGTGGTCCTGTATCCTTGGTTTCAGTTGGGCGATGGGTTTAGGGCTTGTTTTGAGAACTACCACTCTGATAGCCTAGGCAGTTTGGAGCAGGTACCTGCTAACTAGGTACCCACTCCCAAAAAAAAAAAAAAAAAAAAAAAAAAAAAAGTGTTAAAAAGTGGAACTTCACCCTAAAAAGGGAAGTTCTGCTTTTTAAGTCCAGAGATTTGCCCCGCCATACTTTTTTTTTTTTTTTTTTATCTGCCACTAGATGTAATCAGAGTGATGGCCAGCATCATTTAACCCACTTCCCCTGAGTTCAGATTAAATTTGGACCTGGTCCCAGCCTGTAACTGAATAGTGAAAGGAGATGAGATGCGCTCATCTATCACTCTACTCTCTCCTCCAAGCAGCTTCTTGTCAACACATGAACCGATTGGTTCCTTGTGGCACTTCTTCCACTCACACTTAGCCCTGCTGTACAGGAACTGAGAGAGGCTAAATACCAGGACTTGTTATTAACCCCCTTCCTGTCCAGGCCAATTGTTAGCTTTCAGCACTCTCACACTTTGAA